AGAGTGGTTCCCCAATGCTGCTCCACTTATTTTTTAATAATCAGACTCTGAAGTTCCATATCTACATATTTCTCTGCATGGCTATTTTTGCCAAGTACTTCCATAATATAATCCAATTTACAAATATTTATAATATTCAGCGGAATTCAATACAGCAAACTTAAGAATCATATCTCTTCAAGTAACCCCTTAACAGCCGTCTGATTATGGCTCAAATCCAAGTATTCTAATTTATTCTGGAAGCAGATACCTCTCAGATCCACTCTGAGTACATTCAAGTCCTCTATAGGCTCACTCTAACCAAGGCAAAGTTTTAGCTGCACTAGAAACATTTGAGTCATTCCAGATTGTCCAGCCTAAAAAGGTTAAAGTCAGACCGACCTTCGAATCAGTTGAGTTCACTGGGGTCCAGCATCTCAACCTTTTATTCCATACATTCACATATTTACTTCTCTATTTTGAAATACAAAGGCGCACCAAATTCACATAAATCTTTTCTTTCTCCTACTTGAAACAGAGTCTCACTCTGTGGCCCAGGCCTGAGTGCAGTGCCACAAACAAGGCTCACTGCAGTCTCGACCTCCTGGACTTCAACCATCCTGTCACCTCAGCCTCCCCAGTAGCTGGCACCAAGGGGCATGCCACCACCTTGGGTTAATATTTTTTTATGTTTTGTAGAGGCGGAGTCTCCTCATGGTCCCCAGCTGGTCTCAAACACCTGAGCTCAAGCAATTCTGCACCTCGGCCTCACAAAGTCCTGGGATTATAGGCCAGGCCACCATGCCCATCAAAATTCACACAAATCTATACCTCCAGCTCAGACTCTAATGCTATAGGCCTATATTCCTTCTTATTTACTGAACACCTTTTTTGGAAGCCCCCAGACAATTCTAAATCCAGTCTTATGCAACTTGAGGATTCCTCATCTTGGCTAAAGACAGCCAGAAAAATAATTAGTTTATACGATGCAGAAATTTTATCTTAGAATAAATTTTATCTTTTCTGGCTTCCTTTCTTCATCTTCTTTCTTTTTCCACCTTTCCTCCTTAACTATACTAACCCTAAATCTATCCAAGTGACTGAATACTTCATGGCATATTACTTGTCATCCTCTACATCAGCATTGCCCCTTCCCAGGAGAAATGGCATCTTCCCTTTCTTTCCTCAACTGTTTCCAGGGAAGTCCATCCAGAAAGATCCACCTGGTGTTCCCTAGATTTAAGGTGAACCTAGTGACCTTATCGGTGAACCTAGTGACCTAGTAGAGTTCTGCTTTGCCACCAAGCAAAATTCTTCACTTTCTAATTCCAGGTGACTTTCCCTGGGGCATTTTTGCCTTTTACTTTCTGTCTAGCCTCCTCCATGGTCTTTGCTTTTACCTACTCTACTAGACTTACTGGTTATAAGTGCTAAATTTTTTTCTGAGCCCAAAATCAAGAGTCAATACCTGACAAAGAAGCAGATTGTTAAGACCAAGAGTTTCTCTGTATCTGGAAAGCATTAATGTGGATTCCTGCCTCCTCATTCATTAGTTGCATAGCTTCCTCCAACATAGGAACTGGCCAGAAGATTCACCTGTGCACACTGCCTGACTGTTGGAGACTTTTCCCTTCTTTGGTCCCTCCCATCACCTACCCCCCCCCCCCGTTTTTTCTATTTTGTGTCACTTGCATTTCTTTAACAACTTTCTAACAAGATTTATCATTATAGTTATCTTGATTTGATTAGATTTTTCTTAATGAAATACAACACAAATATCAGTCTTTCTTAATTCTTTATTGTGTATTTGTTTTGGATGACACACCGGGAAGGGAAATAGGAAAGGCTCTACATCATATGTTGTATGGGCTCCACAATTTGCCCGCAAGTTTGAATCCGAGGACCTCCCACCCACACAAAACTGCCATTGCCAGCCTGCTCCAAGTCTACCCAATCTCTAGCCATTGTCATACTGCAAAGTTCCTATGACCTTCTCCCAAGGAACACAATCATATACTTTACCTCTTTCTGACCTCCCAGGAATCCGCCCCACCTTCAACCACACTGAAATTAGAATCTGAATTCTGGAACTATCTTGATGTCAGTCTCTGTAGGGGAGCAGCCTGCAGCCTACTCTGGACTCCCATCAAAACAGATTACCCCTTCTGTCTAGGGGTTGCTAATCCCAACTTTTTTGCTGAGATGGGAAGCTGGGGTAGAAATGGGAAGAGAATAGTGGTGGCAGTTGTTTTGCTTTGCAACGGCTCCAGACTGCTCTTCCATTTGGTAAAGTGGCTGTAACTTTTTGGGTGGGAGCAATGCACTTTTCCTTTATTCTCCCACCCACAGGACCAGGAGGCAATAGGATGGGCCTCAAACAGCAGGGAAGGTTTTGGCTAGCTGAAGAGGTATGATGGGATGGAGAAACTGAGGTAAATGCCTTGAGAAAGGGTGAGGATTACAAGGCCAAAATGGATTTCCTTACCTGGCAGGGCATTCTCTGCCTTTGTTCTGGCATGGCCTTTGCCTAAATTCCCCTGGAAAAGGATAGTACTGGTTTGCATAGGAACAGCAGTGGTGAAAATGGGAAACGATGAGTGTGAACAGAGATGCTCGTGGCAGTGTGATATAGCTGGCCTAGAGTTAGAACCTGTACAATGCCATTTTTATAAAGAACAAAACTATTTCCATTCTCCTCACAATGACTGCTAACCTTGGCTTTTGTAAATTGCTAGATCATTTGCAGGATGCAAATTGAGGTAAAGCTGCATACCTCCTCTTATCTGTAAATGCCAGAATTGCTGGCCTTTGTTTACCAGAGTAAGCACCCCCAGATAATTCCATCCTGGTGCCAAGCAACTGAAAATCTATGGATCCCACCCCTACCCAGACGATGTGTAAACGAATGCTAATCTTAGCATCTGTGAACTCCTTAAATGACAATCAGAATAGTCCCCTGGCCCTCAAAATGTCTGGAACCCCCTCACCCTCCTCTCCACCCAGAAGGTGATTTGAATCCACTGGCCCTCGGAATGTCTGAAGCCCCCTCACCCCATCCTCTCCCCTCACCCCCAAGGTGATTTTATGGGTATAAAAAGGTCTTGTCACCCTTCTTTCTCTGCCACGGGTTGGAGAGACGTGAGTCCTCCGTGGTCGCCGGCAATAAACCCTGCAATTTGGCATACTTTTGTTCTGGAGTTGACTTTCTGTGCTCAGTTCGATATAACAGTAGGGTCTGTAGGTCTCTTTGAGGGGGCTCAACTCACATAGTGCAGATTTTTTTTTTTTTTTAATATAAATGCTTGCGGGAAAGGACATTTTCTTATTGGACAGGGGCAGTACCATATTTCTTATCAGAAAGGATGTAGGTCTTAGTCTGGTTGAAAAGTGAGGAGAGGGAGGCTACTCAAGCACTTACAATTCACCTGCATTGCATTTCCGAGAAGAAAGAAAATAAATCAGTGATGCATTTCAAAAATCATGATGTTAGAGACAGAGAACTACAACTTGAGCTTTTTCCTGGGCTTAGAGAGGAGGTGGATGTATCCTGTCAGTTCCTCGTCCAAAGCGGAGTCTTGCAACCCATTTTTCTCCCCCGCTGTTTTTGAACTACTATCCCCAAATACCAAGGGTATTTGACAGAGTGAATCATCAGAATAAGCTGCGATTCCCACTGAGTTCCATCCCGCAGGGAAGGGACTAGACCGGCGGAGCAGGCCTGAGGCCAGGGTCGAGTGGCACTGTGCCTTTCACTCTTCCTGGAGATCTCGGACCTAGAGCTTCCAAGCTCGGAAGAGATGTACTTGTCGACAGCTCCCTAAGATCCCTTGAGGGCTCTGAACGCGGACAAAAGCCTGGGACAGGAGTGTGGTGCGGAAGAACCAGCCACAGCCTTTGGAAGAGCAGCTTCCTGCAGTGTAGAGCTGTACGCGACCCGCAGGGCTTTTACATTCTTCCCGGAGGAGCCACATCCGCCCCATTCCGGGTCCTTACTCCAGCTCCTTTCCCTCTGAGAATCCTGCTGGGTCAGTCGCTGGGGCCCTCGATAATTAAGAATCAAGGTTCAATCAAGAAAAATACAGATTTTCTTAAACCTGAAGGCACTAACTTGAGGAGGGAGAGTGGGAGTAATGCCAGTAGCAGTTTTTGATTTCGTTTTTGTTTTTATTTTCTAGTCACTAGGCCGCCAGAGAAAGTTGCACCCAGCGACCAATCGATGCGTCGCAGCCCCGTTCCTTTCCCTGAACCGAGGGTTTGTGGCTTGTTTCTCAGGGCCTGGGAGTGATCGCCGGCAGCAAGGTTGCTGGCGCCCAAAAGAACGCGCTTTTGTCTTAGGCCAAGATGCTGGCGTTCGCCTCGAGCCCACACTTGCAGGGTCCTAGCGCCGCCAGATTCACGCACGCGCACGACCCAGCGCCCCACGCAGCTCCTCAACTGACCACCGGTTTCCCTCACGCACTTCATTGGCAGCACTGGTCCGATAGTTTTCCGGTTGCGGCGGCGCTAGTTGAGCGGAACAGAATGTTTTCCTGCTCGCTCTGTGAGTCACATTCTCCATCCAAGGGCCTCTAGTCCGGGTGTCATGGTCGCAGCACCCGGCTTCCGTTTCGCCAACAGCGCGGAGTCGGCGGTTTTTCTGTCACAACTCGTCGCACGGAGTTTCTCGGTGGCCGAACGTCTCCTTTTTTCTCAGACTCAGCGGTTTCTTGGTGACAGCGCCCTTGGTTCAACCATAACGAATGCTCTCCTTGACAACCCCACCCCTAGTGTCACTCGCAGGCTCCCAGCACCGCCATTTCGCCGAACCGCGGTCTCTTGGTCGCGGCACAGCTCGTTGCTCGGCATCTGCATTTCCTGCGTGGCCGCAGCGCTCAGGTCGCCGATGTGAGGGATTCGGGGTCGCAGCTTCCCCAGTTGCGTCGAGCTTGGCGTTCCCCAGCGGCGGCGGCCCTGGGCTGGGGGAGCCCGCCTCTCCTCGGAGCGGGTGACAGGGGAGCTGCCCAAGCGCCATCTCTTTCCAGCGCAGCCGCAAGGGCCCCAGCTCGGCCTCCGGATCCCAGTCCTTTGGCGGCGCCGCTGGCGTCCCTGTGGCAAGACTCCGCAGTTTCGGGCATCGTTGGCTTCTTGGTCCTAGCAAGTTTCGATTTCGCGGTGACTGGGATTTCTACCCGCTGTTGAAGTCGGGAAATAACCATAATGTGATTTCTCAGCCCCAGCAACTCCCAACTTAAGGCAAACACCGGTCTAGCCCTGGCTGCGATTTCTAGCTGTTTCAACACAGAAAGGCAGAGTTAGCCTGTGGCTCATTTTTCAGCAACTCCAGGTTTCCCGTAGCCTCAGTTTCTCATTGTAACAAACCTGGGGTTAGCCCTGCCTCAAGTTTCTTCGTCCCGGCCAAGTTCCGGTTTGCTACCAGTAAGCCCTGCTTTCGCTGGTACCCAGATTTCTACAGCTTTTGCCGCCAGCGCCCACTTGGCGTTTTCTCAGTTGCTGCACCGTTCTTAGCGCCCAACGTAAAGATTCTCGTTCCTGTGGCCTGTAAGTTATCTGTGCTGTCACTTTCTCGGTCCTAGTACCGCTAAATCTCGTAGGAACTTCCTGAAACAGGTTTTATGGTGCAGAACGGTGACTGTACCCAGCTGCCATATGCCCTAGTACTTCCGTAATACCGTTAGCCGGCGCTTTTCAGTCACCACACATTCAAACAGGTTAAAACACATTAAACGGATTAAACAGATCAAAACACATTAAAATGTCACAACACATTTAAACAGACTCGGTTCATTCCGCCAAACAGGACGTTTAGGCGTGGAAGCTCCGCTCCTTTCTAAGAGCACGCTGTTTCTCTCCAACAACACGGTTAAAGGCGCCTGAACGAATATTTGTTTGGCAATACCCCGGCTATCCACTAGGTGCCAGCGTTTGCTAAGTTCCAAGAGCCAGTGTTTAGCAAGGTCGTTAGTCGACACAGCCCTAGCGAAGGGTTTTCCGATGGCAGCAATGCTCATTTCCTGGAAACAGATGGTTCTTGGCACCTGAAGCGCTCTTTAACCCTTGCGGTCTGTAGCGCTAGTTCTCTGCAAGGTTAGCTTAGTGTTCGTTTCATTTCGAGTTATTTTCTCGCTATGTTTTTTTGCCCGAATTACGGTTTGTTTTGGTTCTATGTACTCTCTAAAAAAGTAATCATTTTTCGTTTGTCTAATTTTCATGCCGTTGTTACTAGTGAGTTTCATAATAAGTGGCTTGCTTCCCAAGAGCTCCGGAGAGCATAAATACTCAGGCTGAGGGTAGTGCTGAAGCGCAAACACTTGTGTCCTTCTAGCCTGAGGCTTAAGTGACGGAGTAACATTTTCTTGGTCCTGTGAAGCAGGCTTGGGATGCGAAGAGGTGGCGCCAGAGTCCCAGAGGATTGTGGGCCTCACCCTTTATATCCAGTACTAGGAGAGTACTCATTGGACGACAGGTGTTATTTGGAACTGCTTTCCTTCCCTTGTGGGTGGCTTCAATTCAATACTTTATCAGAAAAATTGAAACTTTAGGCCAAAATACTTTCCCAAGATGACAAGATTTAAGTCAATCTTTAACAAGTAAGCTGACTTTAAAATTATTGGTAAAATAAAATTAGAAATGGCTTCAGAATTGTCAACATACATTATTGTTTAGACTTGTTGGTCCATAGTTTTAAATTTATTTCTGCTAGATAATATAAAGCATGAAAATTTTGCATGAAGGTTATTAAGCTATAAATGCAGCCCAAAACAAAATTATCTTTGTGTGTGTAATTTTGGTAAATAAGGCATTTAATAGCATTGGTTTAATGAAAACAGCTAAATCCTGGGTTACTGGCAGAAAAGAAAAACCCATTTATTTAACCTTAAGGTTCTTACTTAGGTAAACACCTGATATTCACAGGCTATCATAATGGTTCACAGGGACATAACTGTAACTGGCCCAGGTGTTCGTTTTGCCTACTGCCCAGATAGAGCTGATTTATCTAGACAGGGGAGTTGTAATAAAGAGTTTAATACATGTAGAGTCACCTAAATTGAAGACCTGAATTTTATTATTACTCAAATCAGCTTCCCAGGAAATTCAGAGGCTAGGGATTTTCAAGGATAGTTTGGCAGAAGGGGGCTAGAAAATGGGTGCTGCTTCTTTGTTAGTGGGCAGTCATGGGTGTGGAAAACAGTCCTCCAGCACTCAGTTCATTTCTTGAGTGGGGGCCACATAGGAGTGGCTGATGCCATTCGGGACACCTGATCATCAGAAATGCAAAGGTCTGAAAAGTCATCTTGAAAAGCCAAATTTAGGTTCCAGTAATTACGGAACTTGCAAATCTTGTGACCTCTGGAATAATGGCTGGTAATCATTTAACTATGCCTACATCTTACCAGAATTCAGGTCTATCTCATCCTCCTAACCTGGTGCGCTTTCAATAGTTTTATAAGGATGGTTTGGTTTGGGGAAGGGATATTATCATATAAAGTTAAACTAAATTTCTCCCAGAGTTAGGTTGGCCTATGCTCAGAAGTGATCAAGGGCAGTTTGGAGGTTAAAGGTAAGATGGAATTCGTTAGGTGAGATCTCATTCACTGTCATAATTTTCTCACTGTTATAATTTTAGAAAGGTGGTTTCATGGCTTTAAATGATGGCTAGGTTTTTCTAGTATCACAGTTTTCATAAGTAATCTAGGTAAACTATTTTTAAAATTAAATTAATTAGGTAAATAATGAAATAAATGCTGATAAGTAAACTTATATTACTTCAAATCTTCAAATTAGGGCTGGGCACGGTGGCTCAGGCCTGTAATCTCAACACTTTGGAAGGCCAAAGTGGGTGGATCATTTGAGGTCAGGATTTGGAGACCAGCCTGGCCAACAAGACGAAATGCCATCTCTACTAAAAATGCAAAAAGTAGCTGAGCTACTTTTTGCAGGGTTGTGTGTGCCTGCAATCCTAGCTACTCAGGAGCCTAAGGCAAGAGAATAGCTTGAACTCAGAATGCAGGTGTTGCAGTGAGCCTAGGAAGTGCCACTGTCCTTCAGCCTGGGTGACAGACAAAGACTGTCTCCAAAAAAAAAAATCGTAAAGGTAATTTAAATTAAACAATGGATAGTTATTAAATGTCTGGATCATTTTCAATTAAAAAAAAAATATTGTAGGAGGGGTACTTCAGCAGATGGCCAAATAGAGACAACTCCAGTGCACAAAACCCAGCAAGAGAGACACAGAAATCAAAAGATCTCCTAGCTCCAACCAAGGCAGCAGGTTCATTTCAACTGGTCTGATCGGCCAGTGAGCAAAGCCTAGGCAAGGCAGACCGAGGTGGGAAGCGGTGCTACTTCATCCAGAAAGTGCTCGCCTCCCTCACCCTGGTCCAGATACGGGGCTTCCCCCAAAGCCTCAGCAATCCACAGAATAAGGGATCTTTGCCAGTCAAACACCGGGAATTACAAGTACAGAGTTGAAAAACAATCTATGACAGTGCCCCGATTGTCGCACAGACCTAAGCAAACGTATAAGCCTGTAAGCCTGCTGGTGAGCCTTCAGACTGAGCTATCACCCCCTCCCCCTACCTGGAGAGAGAGGAAGCTGAAAGCGGGAAGACACCCGGTGTGGTTGGGTGGGTCCCTGGGTCCCTCCCCTCCCCCATAAATCCCAACAGGCTGAAGCACTAACTCTAATGGGTTCCACAGCCAGTAACTCAGTCTGAGCTGAACCCTGAATGATCCAGTTTCGTGGAGGAAAGCAGCAACCCGCCATTAAAGAGGCAGGACTAGGCTTAATGTTTTAACAAAAAACACTAGAAGCCTCCATAGCAACAGGATGGTGTCCTTGACAACCCAGCAGCGCCTCAAGGTCAGCGGAAGGAGGGGTGCCGACCGTTAAAGAGGTGGGCCTAACCTCCCAGTGTAAACAAAAAAGACACAGGAAGCCTACCTAGTACCTGAAGGAGTCCCTGGAAACCCGGTAGGCTTTGACAGGCAGACAAGTGACCTCATCAAGCAGCTCCCTGAGATCTTTGAGCTAGATAAATCCATGAAGATGGGGGGAAAAAAACAGTGCAAAAAAGATGAAACAATCAAAGACCAGAACTCCTCTTGTCCTTAAGGGATCACAACTCCTCAACAACACAGGAACACAACACAACTGAGAAAGAGTTAGACGAATTGACAGAAACAGGCTTCAGAAGGTGGGTAATAATAAACTTTCTGAGCTAAAGGAACACGTTCTAACCCAATGCAAAGAAACTAAAAATCTTGAAAAAAAGGTTAGACAAAATGCTAACTAGAATAACCAGCTTAGTGAAGAACATAAACAACTTGATGGAGCTGAAAAACACAGCACAAAAACTATGCAAAGCAAACACAAGTTTTAATAGCCAAATCAATCAAGCAGAAGAAAGGATATCAGAGATTGAAGACCAACTCAATGAACTAAACAGAGAAGGTAAGACAAGAGAAAAAAGTGAAAAGAAATGAACAAATCCTCCAAGAAATATGGGATTACATGAAAAGACCTAATCTATGCTTGATCAATGTACCTGAATATGATGAGAAGAATGAATCCAAGCTGGAAAACACTCTCCAGGATATCCAGGAGAACTTCCCCAGCCTAGCAAGGGAGTCCAACATTCAAATCCAAGAAATACAGAGAACTCCACAAAGATATTCCTCAAGAAGAGCAACCCCAAGGCACATAATTGTCAGATTCACCAGGGTTGAAATGAAGGAAAAAACGCTAAGGGCAGCCAGAGAGAAAGGACGGGTTACCCACAAAGGGAAGCCAATCAGACTCACAGTGGATCTCTCTGCAGAAACCCTCTAAGCCAGAAGAGAGTGGGGGCCAATATTCAACATCCATAAAGAAACAAACTTTCAACCCAGAATCTCATATCCAGCCAAATTAAGCTTCATAAGTGAAGGAGAAATAAAATCATTTACAGACAAGCAATTATTGAGAGATTTCTTCACCACGAGACCTGCCTTACAAGAGCTCCTGTAAGAAACACTAAACATGGAAAGGAACAAGTACCAGCCACTACAAAAGCATACCAAATGGCAAAGACCAATAACACAATGAAGAAACTAAGTCAACTAATGGGCAAGAAAACCAGCCAGTAACAAAATGGCAGGATCAGATTCACACATAACAATAGTAACATTGAATGTAAATGGCCTAAACACCCAGATCAAAAGACATAGACAGGCAAACTGGATAAAAAGTCAAAACCCATCAGTGTGCTGTATTCAGGAAACACATCTCATGTGCAAAGACACACATAGACTTAAAATAAAGGGATGGAGGAAGATTTACCAAGCAAATAGAGAACAAAAAAAAGCAGGGGTTGCAATTCTAGTCTCTGATAAAACGGACTTTAAACCAACAAAGATCAAAAGAGACAAAGAAGGGTTTTACATAATGGTAAAATGATCAATCCAACAAGAAGACCTAACTATCCTGAACATATACGCACCCGACACAGGAGCACTCAGATACATAAAGCAAGTTCTTAACATCCTAAAAGGAAATTTAGACTCCCACACAATAATACTGGGAGACTTTAACAATAAACCTAGTTTATTGAGAGTTCTTAGTATGAAGGGCTGTATATTATTTTATGATATGTTCAATGGAATGTATCATAAAATAATAAAAGCTATTTATGACAAACCCTCAGCCAATATCATACTGAATGGGCAAAAGCTGGAAGCATTACCTTTGAAATCAGGCACTAGACAAGGATGCCCTCTCTCACCACTCCTATACAATATAGTACTGGAAGTTCTAGCCAAAGCAATCAGGCAAGAAAAAGAAAGATATTCAAATAGGAAAGGGGGAAGTCAAATTGTCTCTATTTGCAGATGACATGACTGTATATTTAGAAGACCCCATCATCTCAGCCCAAAATCTCCTGAAACTGATAAGCAACTTCAGCAAAGTCTCAGGATACAAAATCAATGTGCAGAATTCACAAGCATTCCTATACACCAATAACAGACTAACAGAGACCAAATCAAGAGCAAACTCCCATTCACACTTGCTACAAGGAGAATAAAATACTAGGAATACAACTAACAAAGGATGTGAAGGACCTCTTCAAGGAGAAATACAAACCACTGCTCAAGGAAATAAGAGAGGACACAAACAGGTGGAAAAACATTCCATGTTCATGGTTAGGAAGAATCAATATTGTGAAAATGCCCATACTGCCCAAAGTAATTTATAGATTCAACCATATACCCATCAAGCTGCCAATTACCTTCTTCACAGAACTAAGAAAAAAAAACACTTAAATTTCATATAGAATCACAAGAGAGCCAGCATAGCCAAGACAATCCTAAGCAAAAAGAACAAAGCCAGAGGCATCATGCTGCCAGACTTCAAACTATGCCACAAGGCTACAGTAATCAAAACATCATGGTACTGGTACCAAAACAGAGACATAGACCAATGGAACAGAATAGAGGTTTTGGAAGCATCACCACACTTCTACAACCATCTAATCTTTGACAAACCTGACAAAAACAAGCAATGGGGAAAGGACTCCATGTTCAATAAATGGTGTTGGGAAAACTGGCTAGCCATGTGCAGAAAGCAGAAACTGGACCCCTTCCTGACACCTTACACTAAAATTAACTCCAGATGGATTAAAGATTTAAACTTAAGTCAGTAACGTGCTATGGACTTATTACCAAGCCACTTCCACTCTAGGCTAAGAATTTCTGTATTAAAATGTTTATTACTCTCCCTTCCTCCATGACTAAGTCGGAAAAGGAAAATCCTGGGACTCCTGCAAAGATCTCATGAGACCGGTGGAGTAAAGAAGGTGACAAAGATATAACAGCAGTGAGTACATAATCCTAGGGACGTTCATCCCATCATGTTTGCAGTTTCCACTCAACGCTGCATCTCTTCCGCCTGAGGCTTTTCATCTTTTCTTGAAGGTATGCTAGGCTGCTATCACATTCATAACTGCGCCAATTTCATCTGCATCTCGGCGGCTGCCTTCAGGCCCCATTCCCCAGGGTTTAGGCTCCAGCATCTCCCCTGTCCCGCTACGGTCCTACTTCTTTTCCGGGTCTTATCTGGCAGGCACTTAAGGGAAGCAGGAAGGCGCCAGTAGCGGGAAGCGAACACAGCCCACTTACGTTGCTTAGCAACGGACTCAACTCTTCGGCCTCCGCTTCTTCAGGCTGCTGGGCAGAGACATACCAGCCCTGCTCAGCGTTGAAGCTCTCCCAGGACGCCTCCATGCTACTCTCCAGCTCACTACCAGGTCCATCTGGGAGCCTCTACCCCAGCTCTGCTCTCCTGCCGTCAGTCGCGCCAGAGGCGGAGCTATGAGCCCGGCCCTTCCGGCTTTCCGTACCCCACCAGGTCCGGGGAGGAAAGGACGCTCGCCCTCTCTGCGGCCAACAGTGATGATGTCATCGAAGGCCCGCCAGTCCAGCCACGACCCACCTCCGAGCGGTACCGGAGGGGGAAGTGAGGGGTCGGCTCGCGGATCCAGCTGTAGAGCCACGCGGGGAATTGGAATGGTGCTTTGGATCTTATGGAGGCCATTTGGATTCTCAAGAAGACTTCTGAAACCGGGAAGCCATAGCATAACTGAATCAAAATCATTAATTCCACTAGCTTGGACATCCCTGACACAGACGCTTTCAGAAGCACCTGGTATTCTCTTATTGGGTCAAAGAAAAATATTCTCAACCATGCCAGAAATAGAAACACATGAGAGAGACTCTGAATTGTTTTCACCACCCTCTGATGTCCGAGGCATGACAAAACTTGATAGAACAGCTTTTAAAAAGACAGTCAGCATTCCAGTGCTTAAAGTGAGGAAAGAAGTAGTCAGTAAATTGATGCGATCCCTTAAAAGGGCAGCATTGCAGCGCCCAGGTGTAAAACGTGTAATTGAAGATCCAGAAGATAAAGAAAGTAGACTAATCATGTTGGATCCCTATAAAATGTTTACTCATGATTCCTTTGAGGAAGCAGAACTCAGTGTTTTAGAGCAGTTAAATGTCAGTCCACAGATCTCTGAATATAATTTGGAACTAACATACGAAAACTTTAAGTCAGAAGAGATCTTGAGAGCTGTGCTTCCTGAAGGTCAAGATGTAACTTCAGGGTTTAGCAGAGTTGGACATATTGCACACCTGAACCTTCGAGATCATCAGCTACCTTTCAAACATTTAATTGGCCAGGTTATGATTGACAAAAATCCAGGAATCACCTCAGCAGTAAATAAAATAAATAATATTGACAATATGTACCGAAATTTCCAAATGGAAGTGCTATCTGGAGAACAGAACATGATGACAAAGGTTCGAGAAAACAACTACACCTATGAGTTTGATTTTTCAAAAGTCTATTGGAATCCTCGTCTCTCTACAGAACACAGCCGTATCACAGAACTTCTCAAGCCTGGGGATGTCCTATTTGATGTTTTTGCTGGGGTTGGGCCCTTTGCCATTCCAGTAGCAAAGAAAAACTGCACTGTATTTGCCAATGATCTCAATCCTGAATCCCATAAGTGGCTATTGCACAATTGTAAATTAAATAAAGTGGACCAAAATGTGAAAGTCTTCAACTTGGATGGGAAGGACTTCCTCCAAGGACCCATCAAAGAAGAGTTAATGCAGCTGCTGAGTCTGTCAAAAGAAAGAAAACCCTCTGTGCACATTGTCATGAATTTGCCAGCAAAAGCTATAGAGTTTCTTAGTGCTTTCAAAACACTTTTAGATGAGCAGCCATGCAGCAGTGAACTACTTCCCATAGTGCACTGTTACAGCTTTTCCAAAGATGCTAACCCTACTGAAGACGTTCGTCAAAGAGCTGGAGCTGTGTTAGGCATTTCACTGGAGGCATGCAGTTCAGTTCACCTGGTAAGAAATGTGGCCCCAAACAAGGAAATGCTGTGCATCACCTTTCAGATTCCTGCTGCTGTACTCTACAAGAACCAGACCAGAAATCCAGAGAATTGCGAAGATCCGCCTCTTAAAAGGCAGAGGACAGCTGAAGCCTTTTCAGATGAAAAAACACAAATTGCTTCAAACACTTAATTGGAAATGTTTTCTCTATCTCCCTGCTAGACTTAGTGTAGCAAAATATAATTTGTATTATTAAATAAAATTTTAGTGTTCAGTTTTTACTATTAAAAAAAAAAGATTTAAACTTAAAACTCAACACCATAAAAACTCTAGAAGACAATCTAGGCAAAACCATCCAGGACATAGGAATAGGCAAGGACATCATGACTAAAACACCAAAAGCAATGGCAACAAAAGCCAAGATAGACAAATGGGATCTAATTAATCTTCAGAGCTTCTGTACAGCAAACGAAACAATCATTAGAGTGAACCAGCAATCAACAGAATCGGAAAAAATTTTTGCAATCTACCCATCTAACAAAAGGCTAATATCCAGAATCTACAAAGAACTAAAACAGATGTACAAGAAAAAAACAACAAACAAACCCATTGAAAAGTGGGCAAAGGATATGAACAGATTCTTCTCAAAAGAAGAAGACATATATGAGGCCAACAAACATATGAAAAAATGTTCATCATTACTGGTCATTAGAGAAATGCAAATCAAAACCACATTGAGGTATCATCTCACCCCAGTTAGAATGGCAATAATTTTAAAATGTGGAGACAACTGATGCTGGAAACTATGTGGAGAAATAGGAACACTCTTACACTGTTGTGGGAGTGTAAATTAGTTCAACCATTGTGGAAGACAGTGTGGCAATTCCTCAAGGATCTAGAAATAGAAATTCTATTTGACTCAGCAATCCCATTGCTGGGTATATATCCAAAGGACTATAAATTATTCTACTATAAAAACACGTATGTTCATTGAGGCACTGTGTACAATAGCAAAGACCTGGAATCAATGCAAATGCCCATCAATGATAGACGACAAAGGCAATGTCGCATATATACACCATGTAATACTATGCAGCCATATAAAACGATATGTCTGTGTCCTTTGCAGAGACTTGGATGAATCTGGAAACCATCATTCTCAGCAAACTGACACAATAACATAAAACCAAATACCACATATTCTCACTCACAGGCAGGTGTTGAACAATGAGAAGACGTGGACTCAGGGAGAGGAGCATCACACACTGGAGTCAGTTGTTGGGGGGTCGAGGGGAGGGACAGCAGGGAGTGGGGAGGCTGAGCAGGGTGGGGAGGGATAACCTGGGGAGAAATGCCAGATATAGATAAAGGGGGAATGGAGACAGCAAACCACCTGGTTATGTACGCACCTATGCAACAACCCTGCATGATCTGCACATGTACCCCAGAACCTAAAGTACAATTAAAAATAAAAAAAAGGTGGGTACTTCAGGAATTGATGAAGTCACGAGGTTTCTGTCCTCCCAAATGGGATTAGTGACCATATAAAATAGGCCTGAAGGAGATTGTGTTTCTTTCCCACCATGTGAGGACGCAGAAAGAAGGTGCCAATGGTGAGGCAGTGAGCCCTCATTAGACACTGAATCTGCTGGTGCATTGATCTTGGACTTCCCAGCCTCCAGAACAATGAGCAATAGACTTCTGTTGTTTATGAATTAGTCTGTTATTTTGTTACAGCAACCTGAACAACCTAAGACATGTGGATTAAAAAGAGTAACATAATCATCTCATAGGGTGATTATGAAGATTAAATAAGTAATCGTAAATAGCACTTAGAACAGTGCCTGGCATAGAGGTAGTTTTATTAAAAAGTTATTCATTTAAAAAATATTGTAGGAAAACATTTTTCATCTAATTCAAACGTTACTTATGAAACAAGGTAAAACAAACCAGGGAAAAAAAGAGAGAGAGAGAGAGAGATGTAAAAATAAGTTAAAAATCTAAAAAGATATTTTTGGTAAGAAAAACTGAAAGCAAAATAATATTATATGGGAAAGAATTCTGTATGGTAAATTTTTGTCATAAACTAAAATGACTGATTATTTAAGAAAAAGGGATGTTTAGGATAAAACAGAAAGTGCCAGCATATCATAAATGTTTTAAGTTGTAATGAAGTTCATAAAGAGAAGTTATTTTTTAAAACTATGTAATTAAGTTGGCTATAAATAAAAGGAAATTATAATAGTCTTTGTAGAGATTGGGCTTTGATATTAAAAATACACTAATACACAAAAATAGAACAACAACATTTTTGCAAAGTATTGATTTACACTTAATAAATTATAAGACATTTTAATTTTGAACCTGAACATTGAACATTTAGTGCATCTTATTGTTTTCAGCTTTCTCACCCTTTTAAGACCTGAGATAATAATTCTCTGCTTCAACTTTTGTGTCAGCTCCTGTTTCTTTTTTTTCTTAGGTACTAACTGCTGTTTCTAGTCTGATGCTAAAATTATTTTACCTTTAGGATCTAAAGGAAATGTGTTCTTCCAATATAACACACTGTGCTCTTGACTTTTTAAAATATGTCCAAATTGTTCTATGAAACAAAAAAACTTAACTTATGAACCAGAACACACTCTTCCTATGTCTTATTAATTCAAGTACCCTTTTATTAGTTTTCACTTGCAGGTTATCTAAATGGACCCCCCCTTAAGGAAATGCAGTCACACAAGCTTTGTTGTCTTTTGGTAACTGGCCTGAGAAAAACATTACATTTTATCAAAATAATTCTTATGTTGTGGGTAACCCCCCATATAGGTACCGAGGAAGGAGAGCTAAGCAGAATCCTGGCACAATTAGCGCCTGAAGAATATCTCAGTTTATAGTGTTACTACTCAATTACTTCCTTTTATATAATCCTTCATACATAATCATATATTAGTTTATAGAATTAGGGCCTGAAGAATATCTCCATTTATAGTGTTACTACTCAGTTATTTCCTTTTATATAATCCTTTATATAATCATATATTAGTTTATAGAATTAGGGCTTGAAGAATATCTCAGTTTATAGTGTTACCACTCAGTTATTTCCCTTTATATAATCTTCTCTATATACAATCATATATTAGTTCATAGAATGAGTACCTAAAGAATATCTTACCACTCAGTTATTTCCATATATATATATATATATATATCTTAGTTCATAATCGGAGGAATAGACATGGTACAGAGCATGAATTAAGGAATAAGCAGCTTATAATCAGAGGAATGTCTGGAGCAAACACAGTGCAGAGCATGATTTCAGGGAAAAACAGCTATACCAGGACAAGAATCCATGGCCCAGGCAGCAGCATTCAGTATTGTAAAGATACCTGCTGTATGGCAGGCTTGGGGCAAGAGCCACTCCTCCTGATAAAGGAGTTATAGGACCTTGCTCCAGTTCTTGTGGAAGGCTGCCCTCAGACCAGCAATCCCTTGAGCATCCGAGGGCTCAAAACCCCTCTGGATAGTCGCACCTTGGTGACTGTGAACTTTATCAGCTCTTGCTACTGTGCTAGCTGGAAAAGCATCCTCCTATAGAATTCATTGGAAGCTGCCAGCAGGTGGCGGTAGACCCTAACAACTCTGTCACGGCTGTGTGACTTAAGCATCCTCCTATAGATCGTCTTAGGACTTGGGTGCCCATAGATAGAGGTATTGCACACTGCACCATCTTCACTGTGCACGGCCCACCTCCATGCCTCGGTGACCTAACAGGGGTGGACCCCTTGCGGCTCACCGTCCACCTCCTAGCTTAGGTGACCTAATGGGGGTGTTCCCCTTGTTTTATTACTCACGACTCTATCACTATCCTTAAAGATGACTTCACTAACTACCCTGCCCCCAAACTATACTCAATAAATACAGATGCTTCTGGACATTCAGTGCCTCACCTGTCTCCGCTTATAGGTGGTGTGCTCCCCATGAGCCCAGCTGCGTTTTCCTTGTACTTCCGTGTCCTGTCTCTTTATTTCTGGTATCCTGCGCCTCAGCACAGCATAAGGAATACCCACGACCCTGTGGGGCCCTTAGCCCTACACTTTCTGTGCTTTGTCTAGAAGAAAATTCCCTGTGAGGGAGGTAAGTAGCTTTTTCAACTTAACAGCTATATTTTTTAGGAATAGAATGGAAGGCAAGTTTGCGCTAAGCAGTTCTCAGCTTGACTTTTCCCTTTGGCTTAGTGATGTTGGGGTCCCAGGATTTATTTTCCTGTTTTCTCCCTTTGCTTTTTAAAATCTTTCAGATAAAGCATTTTACCAAAAAGTGAGTCTGTGGTCTCCAGTTTCATCTGATCTCTCATAGCTAGCATGGTTTATTCCCAGAAGGGTAGAACCCATGTTGTTAGGAGAGCTCATTTTTAGCAGGATGTGAAGTGTCACACCCTGTGGAGCGAATATAGGGGGAAGAAAGGAGAAAAACAGCAGCAAACAAAAAGGGATAATTCTGGAAAATCAATATAAGCCATATTACTATGAAGTCCATACATCAGTAGGCAGGTATGAGAATGGTTTATGTATGCATGTAGGTTGCTGTTATTTTCTTCTGAACTTTAAGTTGTCTAGCTTCAGTTTGCAGGGCTTTAAGAAAGCACAGTTTACTTTTCAGTGATTTCAAATTAGGAAAAATGGGGAGGGGAAAGAAAAAGAAAGAAGAAAATAATTGAAAACATTATTTTGGAGACTTTTAGCCAGGAAACATTTTAGAATTTAGTCCAAACTATAGAAAATAATAAAAATTAAATAACATTAGGCAAGACTAGAATCTAATGTGTACTATAGTTGTTGAAACACAAGTTTTCTCTCTCCAGTTCCCCATTTTTACTATAAAGAAATCATGGTAGGACCTATTTGCTTTACTATACTTGGCCTAATTATTTGTATAAAGTGCCGCAAGAACAATTATTTTTCACACAGGCTTTTTAAATGACTTTGATGGAGCTTTGTTCCGTAGAAAAAGTCTCAGATACAAAGCCCAGCCATGCTTTTTACCATCAAATACACATGAGTTGGGCAAATTCCCCTCCTCTTGAGGTCCCAAGCTCACTTGGGCCTGTCAGAAAGTTACATTCTTTACTTACCACAGATCAGGAAGCCTGTATAAGGACTGTGTAGACAAGGTTTGAGGCCACTTTTTCCAAGGGGCTTTTATTGGCTCTGTAAGTCAAGTTTGAATCCTTAAAGAAAAGCACACCATTTTAGTCAAAGCCTTGGTAAAATAACCAGTTTCTCCAATGGTGTTCTGTTGCAAAAGAAAGCATTCTTATGGCACTTATGCAAATAATAATGTTTATTTTCTTTCATCCCACCTACTGCCCACCCCGTTTTTCTGCTTTGTGTCACTTTCATTTGGTGAATAATATTCTAACAAGATTGACTATTACAGTTATCCTGATCTGATGAGATTTTCTTAATGAAATTGACAAAAATATCAGTCTTTCTTAATTGTTTATCAGTGTTTTGGATGACACACCGGGAAGGGAAATAGGAAAGGCTCTACATCTTTTTTCTTATGTGCTCCACCATTTGCCCTGAAATTTGAATCTTAGAGCCTACCACCCACACAAAACTGCCATTGTCAGCCTGCTCCAATTCTACCCAAATACTAGCCATTGTCATACTGCAAAGTTCCTATAACCTCCTTCAAAGGAGTACAATATTGTATTTGACCACTTTCTGACCTCCCTGGAATCCACCCTGCCTCCAACCACAGTAGAATTAGAATCTAAATTCTGCAGCTACCTTGATGGCAGTCTCTGTAGGGAAGCAGCCTGCAGCCTCCTATGGACTCCCATCAAGACCGGTTTCCTCTTCCCTCAATCTTATTGAAAAGCGAGGAAAGGGAGGATTCAAGCACTTACACGTTCACCTGCATTGCATTACCCAGGAGAAAGAAAATAAATCAGTGATGCATTTCAAAGATCATGGTGCAGAGAACCACAATTAGAGCTTTTCCCTGGGCTTAGAGAGGAGGTGGATGTCTCACTGTCAAGTCCACGTCCAACGCTGGAGTCTTGTTGGAGTCCATTTTTCCCCCTGGCTGTTTCTGGACGACTATCCCCAAATATCAAGGATATCTGAGAGAGTGAACCATCAGAATAAGAAGCGATTCCCACAGAGTTCCATCCCGCAGGGAAGGGAAGGGACAGCCGGGGCAGGCCTGAAGCCTGGGTTGAGCGGCACTGTGCCTTTCATTCTTCACGGAGATCTTGGACCTAGAGTTTCCACGTTTAGAAGAG